ATGAGGTAGAGAATTTCTATGTCAACTAAGTAATTATGTAGAGCAAAAACAAAAACTAAAAACAAAAAACAACAACAAAAAAACACCAGAGCATTACAGTTAAATTTTTAAACAAGATTTGCTTTGAATTTTCATAATGCATGTGCAAGTTGATGATTGTTATGTAGTAATAAGGATGAAGAACAAATGAACTCATATTGAATTTAAATTCTGACATACAAATAGGAGAAAAGTCATTGTAGAAAGGCCATTTCAGCTTAAGGAAAAGAAGTGTTCAAATGTGTAAAGCGTATCACTTATTGGCTGAAAATTATATATGTTATAAAAATCATTTTTGTACTCTTCAGTAGTTGTAATGTAGTCTGCCCCGATATGATGAAGTGTTCAAACTAATGTTTTATTAGCTTATTTTTTCAGAAAATGGTAATGTATTTCCACAATGAGCAGTAGATTATTTTATATGTTATCTAAATTATTTATTTTCTCTAAGGGTCTACAGTAAGAAATCTTTGAACAAGGATTATATACTTTCAGCTAACATTTAAGTAGCAATATATAGCTACAAAACTGCTTTGCATATATTATCTCGCATGGTGAGTTTTTTCCCCTCCTCTTTTAGAAATGAATATTCAGCTCAGAGAGATTTAGTGATCTGTCACCACAGACAAACTATGTATTTGGCTGGAATTCAAACCTTCTAGTTTCAAAACCTGTAGTCATTCTATTATGCCTCTCTTAGGCACTGAAGTAATGCAAGTACTAATAATAACGAGGAAGAGGAGGACAATGATTTTTAAAGCCCATCTCTCAAAGACTTCACAGAACTCTGGAAATACAAAATTGATACGTGAAATCTCATTAGTATGGCAAAATAAAATAGATAATAACTAGATATTTGAAACACGTCAACTTTGGGGCAAAAGCAAACCCTATGGAATTCAGAAATGAGTAGGATAGAAGCTAGTTTGGTGAATTAACTGAAGAGGAAGAGGACTTTTCACTTAGCAGAAACAGCATAAATAAAGGCATAACAAGACAATGGGCCAGTCTACACAATAGTTTGAGTAAAGTTTAAAATATTGAGTCATATTACATTGAGACTTGAAATTCAGAGGCAGAGAAAGTTAAACCTAATTCAGTAGCTGATATGGATTCTACACAAGGGGAGTTTCATGATGCATAATTTAATATGAGGATAGTTTTGCAAGACAATATGGAGAAAAGGGGAATCAAGTAGAAACTGCTTTAGAAAGTCCATGATTAAGAATGCTAACAAAAGTGCAATGAAGTCTATAAGATCAATCAGAGACATTTTTTTTTTTAAAGTTGACATGTCTTAAGCATACTTTTTATTTAAGTAAGACGATTAAAAGGAGATAAACTCTATGTCTCAAGGACTCAGAGAAGTACCACGTCACTCTAGAAAAGGAGAAATTGGGAAACAGATAATATGGGAGAAGTTATTTGGTTCAATTTTAATCAT